TTTTACTCACATGCGTAAGCTTCTTTCGTCTCGTGCCACGCGACTCGCTCAGACCAAACCGCATGTAGGCAGAGTATGGTCTCGATTCTTGGTCTGCGGGAAAGTTAGACCAGGCACACCAGTTCCGCACAAGCGAGTATCGCGCCAAATACCGGAGCCATCTCTCATGGCTGATCGAGGACTGGGAGGCTCTCGATGCCGAGGCGGTGAGGCATGTTCGGCATGAGATGTACCAGCAAGTCTTGTAAGTGGTCCTATTCTTGCTTACGCAACATGGTATCAATGTGACGTTCCACGGCTACAGACGATATGGCAATATCACCATACAATCAACAACTCAGAAGACAGAGAAGGCTTCTGACGAGACCCGTGAACGCATGCGACGCGCTCTCGCCACCCGAACATTTGGTACACGGCACGACGATGACTTTTAGTAGCACCACTATAGTGCCTCACTGTTACCGTAGCCTTTACCAATATCATTCTGTCATGTATACCATATGTACAGTGTGCTACTTGAGATGTTCGGAATCGCTATCGTGGTGTACGCAGCAGGTGCCGCAGAAGTACGAAGGCGTCTAACTGAAGTACGCACCACTTCAAAATTGTACGGCGCTCATTGACTGAAGTGCGAACAACTATGAGGCAGGGACTAGGCTATCACACTACACTCTGTACATAGACTCTGTAGTAGTCCACAGCAATGTTCAGTTTCCCTGATGTTCCTCCATCAATCTCCCCGACGCCCAGTACACCTACGACGCTGATGTCTCGGAAAGCGACTCCTACCACGTTCCCGAAATTGCCCAATCCCGCGCACCCACTCCAGTCTCCCATGAAAGCACCATCCCAGTCGATGAACACTCAGAGTCCCACTGGAACTGGAGCAACGCTAGCGCAGAAGAAACCGAACAAAAATACCGCGAGACCACTTACCTCCAGCGACTCACCAAAATCCGCAACGACTACAGTGCCGTCGAACTCCTCTTGCAACTTGCCCAGGAAGAGGACAATTCCACGAAGATATTTGCAAGGACTGTCGCGAGCTTCCACGCGCTCAACGAACACTTCACGGACACTCATCGCGACGCTGCGAACCTGGTACACATCGACGACGAAGGACTCGCAAAACTCAGAACGCAAATCGGAAGGACGGACGTAGAGCACCTAGAAGCGTGGAGGGACTTTGCCAATTACTCGGAAACACACCCATCGGCAGCACGCATCGTCAACACTGCTCATCGCTATCAATTCGGGCCGTCCATTCACTTCGCCTACTTATTTAACGACTTCGAACCCATGCCCAACCCCACGCCAACTCACTCTCGACCGCTCTCAGAACGCATCACATCCTCGTCATCCAGCCAGTTCTTTCTCGCGTCCAACCAGTCCTTTCGGTCCTTTTGGGACCAACCATCCCCTTCGACGAGCACGCCGTCTCCCCCATCGTATGAGTCCGACAGCCACGCCGCCACCAAGAAGTCGGTCCGCTTCTCCACCCAACACAAATCCCTCGATCATTACGATCCCGGATGGACGTCCCCGAGCGCTCTCTCGGATTGGACAACTCCCGCGAAGGTTTCGAAGAGGCAGCTCAAGCGCGAACGCCGCCGTCGCAACAGGCAGTCGAAGCCACTCATAGTCATCAAGAAGGCTCTCGAGGAGGCAGTCGCGAAGGTTCAGGAGGAGATCTGGGCCCTTAACTAACTTTGATCGCTGCTCAAAGGTAGATTAGGGGGTAATGTTATGATGGGCATGGTGGCGTGGGATATCATTTCCTTTTTCGTCTCTGACTCTAGTTTAGTAGTACTGCCTTCGTCGACTCATAGAGCACAGCTTCACTGACTCACCCGCAGTCCCTTTGACTAGTAGACTAGTTCTTAGGTAAGGCTGAGCAGTAGTATAATTACCCCGCGCATGTACAGTAGCACCCCAGCTTTCAGCTCTTTCGTAAATTCACGTTTCTTTATTCTGCTCTAACCTCATCTGCGGATAAGGCGATCAGACAAGCTTCAGGCTTGCAAAGAAACCTCTGTCATAACAGGAATGTGAGTGAGGAAAGACCTGCTCGAGTCTGGCTTGTTATTGAGCAGTACAAGCTCCTTATATACATGTCAGACTGAATATGTAGAATATCCTACGAATATACGGAGGTGTATAGAAAGTGAAAGAATACCATGGAATCCGGGAGAACCATCCGGAATGTGTAATATTCATGACAGTGAGTTGGCAGAGGCAGAGAAGTCGATAGGGACCTTGAAAGAGCTCCACGATCAGATCATGAAGTTCTGGAGCATGAAGAACCAGCACATCCTGGGACATGTCCTTCAC